TATATCATTGCAGTATTTATTATTATATTATATAATTGTATTATTTGTTATTATATTACATTATTGTATTTCAAGTTATATTATTATGTTAACCTATATTATACTATGAGTGCAAGTGAAGAACGAATACTGTTAGGACCACTGTGGCAAAAATATCGCAGCCGACCTCCGGAATAAACACGCCGTGTCATACCTATCAAATATTTCGTCAAAATTGACATTCTGTTATCCAATCGCTGATAAGGATGCAACTGCCTTGCGTTCAATATAATCTTGCTACAGAAACTTCGAATTTCGTATGAATATCGCAGACATATTTCTGGGGTAATTATTTGCTGCAACGACTTTTTCCAATTTTGACTATTTTAGTATTGTTTTCGCACGAAAATTTTCATTCTGGCAATAAAATGAGAGATTAATTAGGCGAAATATAGTTCTTGGTATTTTTACACAAAAAGGCGTGAAAAAATTGTAATACAAATCTCAATGCACAAAATTTCAAAAACAAAATTTCTGTTGCAAATAATTCATTTCGATTTTTTAACCTATTTTTTAATCTATAGTATTTCCACTTTATATAATCTGATGTTATAAACAGTTACATTTTTAACAAAATTGAAGTATAAATGAATTCGATAATAATAAAATTATTTTGAAACGCGACATGGCAATTTCGGTGCTGCCTTAGAATTGATTGCAGAGAATTAATATATAAGGTGTCTATTTTATCCTGCACATTGGCATATCTCCGTCGATTTTGCCGATATGAAAAAACGTGTCAGGACAATTTCGTTTCATTCGAAGCCAAGACTATTATGATTCATGTTCTTCTCCTCTCAAGGTCATTCTTTTTCAAGTACTGAAGGTCATCGCTATTTTTCGCAAATTAACCCCGGTCTTTTGTAACACAGCACTATGGCGCACGTCAAGACGAATTCGACGACCTTTGACATTACGACCTTTAAATGACCTTGGATGGAAAGGTCGTGCTAGTTCTATGGCAATCAAGAAATTTAGAAACTTTGCTTTTTCACGAATAATAAATTTATTTATGCTACAATATCTTCGACGAGCTTCAACACTTTTGACAAAAAAAATGGTCTCGACAGTAAAAAAAAACATACATCATAATATTCTTAGCTTGGAATTAAACACAGTTGTCCCGACATTTATTTTTATATCAACAAAGATAACGAAGATATTTCAATGTACAGGATGATATGATTACCCTGCATATTTCTGACTTTATGTCAGTATAGGTGGTGCCGAGACGTTATAGCAATAATTATTACATATAAATATTTATGCAGGGTGTCCTATTTGAAATAACTTATTGACTTATCCCCTAAACTATAGTTCGTTTTAAAAAATGTGTCGAATGAAACTTACCCTGTTTCATAGGTGCGATCCTATAATGGTCAGAAATTTTTGCTGAGTGAACGTGCTTCCGAGATTTCAAGGTGACCTTGGTTTTCCTTAACAGAACTGTATATCTTTTGTTACGTAAACGGATTGTTCATTTCAAGCTCGATACATTGACCTATAACAATTTGGTCTTTGAAGATCAAGGTCATCCAGTGCTGTTCAAATCTACATCAAACCTCCCAAAAATTCCATATCTTTTTTTGACATTTCGTCGTTTCGTATGCGAACATAATTCGCACCAAAAGCGGTAAACTTTGGACAGCATTGAATGACCTTGAACGATCTTCAAAGACCAAAGTATTCGGGTCAATGAACTGACCTCGAAATGCACTATCCACACACATAAAAAAAGGTATACAGTCCCATTAAAGAAAATCAAGGTCACCTTGACATCGCGAAACCACGTCCGCTTAGCTAAAAACTGTGACCATCGTAAGACGAACCCTTCGAAACAGAATAACTTTCATTCGACAAATTTTTCAAAACGAAGCATAGTTTACGAGATAATCGAGTGCGACACTTCAAATTTGACACCCTGCGTAAATAACGGTAAAACGTTTCACGCAACGGTGAAACAATTTCGGTCACGATAAACGGGTCTCGAGCCCG